GTGCCCCATGCAAATTGTCACAAAAGCCTCTATCTATGAAAGCAAAAACGTTGTAACCTTAATTTTAAGCCGTAAATTCACAGTGAAATGTGTGCTACCGTGAATTAAAGTGGAGATTGTTAGTCACTACTTCCGCTCAGGTAGGAACAGCTGTAAAGTGTAATGAGTCCCACTGACACGGTATGAATATTGATGTTTCATTGGCAGCCAATCACAGCAATTGACGGGATGGTCCCCTGATGCTGCTTATACACAAGGCTTGTGCTTCAAGCTGGCTGGTCACACAGCAGATACGTATCACTGTACAGTACACACATACAGTATATGTACATGTATCTAAATGTACAGTAAATTCAGTCGCGTGCATTATGGAGCTCCAGTACTGTTGGTCCTGGTCACACATGTTTGAGCTTGCCGTGCTGGTGCTCGGTAACATCGTAATAAATTTGTACTTACATGTACATGTACCTTGTGATGTGAATTTAAAAAGTTCTGGTATTTTTCATGGCAGGAATAGAAACAAGCGAGCGTCAGTACTTGCGCCTTTCTTTATAATTTAGGGGGCATTTATGATACAAGCATGCCCTTTTTAGCTCCCTACGCCTGCTAACTTTAAGCAATGTGACGCCAATATTTGCAACTTGAAGTCACGATTCGCTCTTCAGTTGCGAATATGGACTTCAATATTTACGATCAAATTAACAACTTGTATCTCTGGTTGCAAATATTGCCACAAATTTTTTTCCAGCAAGCTACCAGTAGGCAGAAATGAAGTGTTCACGTGCGCGCGCAATGACCTACATATACGTTTTTCGGCTTAATCTTTATTCTGCTGGGCAGTTTTGGCAAAATGCAGGGGGCACAATGTTAAAAAGCAATTGCTGTGTCTATACCCAAGCAACATCTCTCTCCACCTGGCTTGCTGGGAAAAAAAATTTGCAGCAATATTTGCGACCGGAGATAAAAGAGTCGTGAATTTGGTCACATATGATGGCAATATTCACGACTGAAGAGTAAGTTGTGAATTTTAGTCACAAGTATTGACAGTAATATTTGTGACCATAGAGCGAGTTGTGAATTTGGTCTTGAATATTGACAGCAATATTCCCAACCTGAGAGCGAGTCGTGAATTTGGTTGTGAATATTGGCATCAACATTGACAATCGACAATGTCCCTCCAGGGCCACCATACATGTATATGATTCTCTTCCAACTGTTCACTCAACCCAGTTTTGGCTCTGTCTGCTCAGAGAAAACAGCATTTTTCATGGAGGATGACTTTTGTTCATCACTACACAAAGTCAAAAGACCAAAACCAAGCTACAGCAGCATGATCAAACACAAAGTGCCGACTGCAGACAACTCTGGGAATGGTTAGAGACAAGCAGTCTATTGTGGGTGAACACATACATGAAGTAATGTACCGGTAGTTCATGTACCCAACATATGTACATACATGTGTACAAATAAGCTAATTCATGTTGGACAGCAGACATTAATCAAAATGACAAAGTGGGTGCACATGGATGGGGGTGGGGGTAGGAGTGATATAAAGAACACAGCTGCATCACCCTTGCTTGACTAAAATGAGCAATATTTGCCATTGGTTTGGTGTCCTTTTGGCTTGTTTGTCTGAAAAGCAAACAATTTTCATGAAACTTGGATTAAAAGGCCCATGATGTGAACTTTTTACAAGGGAGGAATGTTTTGTTCAACTTTCTAGTCCTCTATATGTACATGTCGTATAAGAAAGCTATCTGGAATCTCCTTTCTCCTCTGAGAACTGCATTTTATTTTGGAGAGTTTTCTGTTCAAAATGTACACCACAAATTCCCTCCCTAAAAACAGTGTTTGAAGACTTTGCTTCTGGATCTACTCTCTACTGTGGTGCGAAACGCTGCAACAGTGAGGTCTCAAACTTCCACTTGTGACTAAAGTTTGGATATGCACAACAATACAAAGGTACCAAATATGTCCTTCAAAGGGCATAACAACATTGAAAAATAATGCTAAATGGAACAAAAAGGGACATTTACAAGAAACCTGCACTAAAAATCAAATTGTATGGAAACTTTCAACAATAATTTGCAGCTAAACGGCATGTCTCCTTCTTTGGAATACATGTATGTACTGTACCATACCTGTAGCTAAAACAGCTAAGGTCTAGACAAGAATACGAGCGAATCACAATAGTGTGCCTCGAAGAGTTTGCAATGCCAATGGCCAATCACGACGTGTGAAATCTGTTGACCCAATGCGCATTTGGCAAGGGTTTTTGCACGTTGTGATTGGCCACTGCATTGCAAACTCTTGGAGGCACAATATTGTGAATCGCCCGGATTCCACTTGTTGCCAAATAAGGTGGAATAGGTGGCGGTGTGGGAACCAAGGTGGGAGGTGGCAATTTAGGCACCAACACATGCCACTGGATTAAGATGCATTCAACATACATGTACCGGATAAGCCATTTTTAATAGGGACTACACAGTTCTCTTTGTACCGGTACAGTATTCTTCTAAAATAGGGATGGTGTCCTTCCATATGCATTGAAAATTTCCCATTTTAAAGGTTCTTGGAGCACATCTGGCCACATACCGGTACATATGTATGTACATACATGTACATGTGTATGCTCCATCATGTAACAATTCTAAAATCTAACACATCGGCAAGGTCTGTGTAAGACACAAATCATGATAATTGAAAGTGCAAATTTGCTAACAGCGCTTGTTAGAACACATTACGACATTCTTTCAAACCATTCAATAACCAGTAATCCACACCCAAAATGTGTAGCAAGAGGGTGACATGTAAGAGTTCCACTTGTTGCCAAATACAGCTATTTACAGACATGTGGTCACTTAAGCGTGACACATTTTGCGGCCGCTCAACAATCTTCGATCACTCTGTCAAGACAGAACAATACCCAGCTGCATGTACATAGAGTACAAACAATAACCATGGTGAAGGAGGCTAAAAGGTTCAGGCGCCAAGACTGTCTGCCAATTGATTAAAATGCACTTAACAAAAAAGCTGTTCTTCATGGCCACAAAATTCTCTTTCACGTCTTTGACACAGGGCACTCTGCTAAAAATGGGATGACATCTTTCTATGGGCACTGAAAATTCTGCAGTTTAACATAAAAAGATCCTCCAAGCACACAAGGCTAGGTTCATGTACACAAACACCATGAAATAATACACTACAATGTCCCCACAATAGGCAAGCACAGAGCAAGCGATGTAAATTTGCCAATAGCACTTGTTAAATGAAAGAAATGAAAGACACTACCGTATTTCAAAACATAAAATAACCAGTGGGCTACATGTACACTGTACATCTGAAAGTTGTGGCAGGTGCTGGGAGTGACAAAGGCAGAGATGGGGAATGGCTGTGGCCTGTGACAGTTGACTTTCATGAGTACACATGTAAACATTGTACATGTACATGTACATGTACATGTACCAAGCCACAGACAGGACTTACGGACACAGCCTTTGCATAATGATACATGTACATTTTTGTACATGGTAATCCTGAAACCTACAATTCTGATTTGTGCAAAAATGTTTACTTATTGACAAATCATTGAATTCTGTGGCAGTTTGTGTTCAAGGAGCATTTCTTATCAAAACAACAGCAAAAAAAAAAAAAAGGATAGCTGGGCATGCCTTGTACATAATGTGGCACTGTGCTGCTCCGGCACCTTAATTAATTAATGCTGAATTCTCGATCTTCATAAGCCTACTTTAAAATTGCCTTCATATTAAACTGTGAAAGAGCTATGAAAAATTTTCAACAAAACATGCACTGTAAACTATAACGCAAATGCTCACACAAAGCACGAGCTTGGCTCGTATCAGCGCTACGATACATTAGAACATGTATTTACATGTAGCTGTGGAGGCAGAAACTAGACTAGCTCAGAAGGGTTCCTAAAGGCACAGTAAACATTCTGTGTGACTTAATGACTACAGAGTGAAGCTGCTGTGTTGCATTGCTTTGTGTTCAAGGTTGAGCAATGCAGTCGTCGCTCATCGTCCGAAAACGCTATCAGTAAAAAGTGAAGCAGTTGAACTTTTCTCGAGTACCAGTGCTGAGTACGCCCACAATCCAAGTAGAAAGAATCAAGTAGGGACCAAGTACAATGATTTTCGAGTACTGATAAACGAGTATGGGCTGAGTATTCTGGCGTAATCGAGTTGTATGGTATTCAAGTGCAAGTACTAGTAATCCTACACTACTACAAAACAATGTAACATTTAGGCTTTCTTCCTGGGATGACATCACAGTTTTGCTCATGAATATGGAAATCTTATTAGCATAAAAACCAAACAGGCAACAAAATACCCTTTGAAATAGTGGAACAATAGTGGAATAGTGGTAAACTGAGACAAAACGTGCATTCTAGGGTGTGTATCAAAACAAATTGATTGCAGCTACCCCGGTACCCTTTAATATTCTGGAGGCAGTCATGTTGTTCTTAGAGTGGCTTACATGTAGCTTTGTCCCCCATCCCTTCCAAAAAAAATTGGCAAGTTAATATACATTCAACAATCTTTGTCTATCTCTTGCAGCAATACAAAGCCACAAAATTGAGATACTACAAAAAATGAGACAAAAAAAATCTCTAGCCATTTCAAAACAAAACCACTAAGGATATATTTCTAAAATAAAGAAAAAATACTTCTGACAGGTACTGGGTATATCGATGACCCATTTGTCAGGGTTGTGGTACCAGACCAGCAACATGTAACACAGACTCTCTGGAGCAACCTGTGGTATCAATATTATGTATGTGCAAGGAACAGGTGTACATGTACTGTACATGCAATCTGGTTGCAAGTGCTTTCTAATCAATATGCAGTAATTAATCATAACTTTTGACTGCCCTCAAGGGACCGGCATCTCAATTGGCTGTGAAAAGTGCAAAGACCACATGATATGCAACGTATACAATGTAAAGTGATTAAGAACAATGTCAAGAAATTGAGGTTTACCTGTACATAGGAACTGTGGTCAGATATCCAAGTACAAAGGGATCTGGATGGACTTCACTTCCCTGGACATTCTTGCCAGGAAATTCCCAAATTCTCAGAATCCTTGCCTGAGGCAGAAAACCACATGGTACACTCTCATCACAAGTGCCATCAAGCCACATGCACTGCACATGTAGACATACATGTACATGTACATTACTGAGGCCAGGCTCCACCTTTCTCAACCTTGGGGAAAGAGTTCCATATACATGTACGGACATTGTTTGACACCCTGTACACAAAACCTACATGTATGTGGCTGGTCTAAAAAAGTGTTTTCTAAGTAAACCACTTGTTTTTTCCCTTCTTCATGTAAATTGAACTTTTCTGGACATGTTTTTCCTTTCTGATGGCTAATGGGTCACTGTAGCTGTAGTTACTGACGTCCTTACATGGAACTCTTCCCAACCTTGCAGTCCAAACTTCAGAGTACATGTACAGTGTAAATGAAGCATTTGATGGATCTTGTACAATTAAAACTAAACATTTCTCTTCCTTTTTCTCACCTCTCAACTGTCCTGGGAAGCATCCCTCGATTTAGTTTCTACATGTATGTATTTGCATTGCAGTAAAGATGCTGGCTACCTGTGAGTGCACCTGTACCCTCTTAAAAACAGAAAGATTGAGCTGACGGCCTGGCTAGTGCCTCCCATGTACATGTATGTACATTGCATTATTCAGGGTTAGGATAATGGAGGGACCAGGACCAGCACTTCCCTTTGTATAACCGTACCAGAAACCGCACGCGCCAACCAGTGAAATACAGGGGGTTGGCAGGTGGTGTCCATCCCAGGGGAAGTTGTTGCTTGTTAGCAAAGCGCCCTCTTTTGTTCATAGCAGGAGCCAATAAAAGGCATGCATGCTCTGCAAAAACTCAAGCCTGGGTATGGATGTTTTCATCATACCGGTAAATGCACAATGTTCTCTTTTCATTGTGCAAGGTAATCTTCAGATTTGTCGGTACATGAAAATTAAACACTTGTCAGAAATGCATTTCTGAAATACAATTTAAAAATCTAAAAGACTCAAAATAATTTTTAACAAACTGTGTACATGTACATGTAAGTCTTGTGTTCAACTTCAACAGGTTTAAATAGTGGAAAAACTTCAGTGCCTGGATAATGTACATGTGTGATTTAGACTGGTACTGTACATTGACAGAAATGCAAGGAGTGTGAAATCTCTGTATCTGTGCAAGGTGTCTGTCCACCACCTTGGATTGGCACTGTTATAATGATTCATATACATGCACCGGTACATGTATTACATATATATGAGGCACTTGATCAACAAGGCAGTACCAAGTTTAAGACCAAAAACATCAAACAACAAAATTATGCACCCATCTACATGTACATGTATTATTCTACAAGTACCCCCCCCAGCATCGTCCCTAGGTATGTGCATAACCAGTTTCTGTATGGCAGGATTGTGGGTGAAACTTTTACCCAATGATACAATTTAGCCTCACCAACTTCCCTACATGTACATGTATCTCCAACCTCCCTGCATCCATGTAAGAACCTTTCCACCAATTCCAAAAGCTAGCACAGACCACAGACTCATGACCTCTGACCTGTCAACCAAGTTTATCCAAACATTGCTACCTTACAGGTCCATTGTGTGTGCGCTGTGCGACTATGATGGGGGAGGGTTGTTTGACATTTTTCAATGAGCCGGACCGCGCCACAAGAATTCAAAGCAAGAGTTGCAGGAAGGGCACTGCAGCTTTTCAGTTGAGCAACCACTGTGGTAATACAGCCCTATACAATAACACAGCAGCAGCCACATACGGTACTGTGCATGTGTATGTAATGGTAATTATATCAACCAGTGAAGCATACAGTGTGATCTACATGTATACATGTACGGTATGTGACAGTTTATAAAGAAACCCACAAGAAGGACCAAAATCTGATGGGAATAAAGCAATGTTTAAACAGACCAGAACCTTCTACAGAAATTTAACAGCCAGGCTACCGGTAACTTGAACAAACCTGGGCCTTTGTACATGCATAATAGCCAGTTAAAGTCGGATTTTCTTACGGGACAGTTTTTTTCTGCAAATTCTTCAACATTGCAATTTAGTCATAATGCAACCAAGCACAATGCTGTGGAAATGAAAACATGAAGTCTCAAACAAGTATGTATACACATCCTCCATGGAACAGATAAGGAAAACTGTGTATGTTTACACGCCATCCGCCATCAAGTGGTTTAAAAGTCTACATGTACCAGTACATGTAGAATGAAGAAACTACACAATTGTGTATATACCGGAAGATTGTCAAATGTCAAAGTACATGTACATGTACACCTACACTGTATAGTATTGACACATGCCACAGTGTAACTTTGACTACATGGTAAGTCTTTTCCTACTGACTACACAAGTAAGGACCTGCAAGTGTGTGTACCAAAAGTGTTTGCAAAAGATTGGTAAAAGTGAGACAGTTTCCCGAGTTCTTATTAGCTGAGTGGCTTGATAGAACTTGACAGTCTGAGTTAGAATAATTGCCACTGGTTTCAAGGAATAATGGAAGATTCGACTGAAGGAAAGCTTGAAGTCAAATGTGGAGAACATGTGGCGAGGGGATTGTACATGCAGGTCTCAGAAATGTACCAGGAGGTTGAAAGGTACCGTACACTGTACCGGGTATGTCCAGGTATACCGGTATACCGGTACATGTACATGTGTAATGATACAGTTAATCTTCCTAATACCAACAGTGCAAAGTGTTTGGTAGTTATGATCTCCAGTATACGCGTACGTGTACACTGATGTAGCTTTCCTATACAACAGAAAACGTCAAGCCTTTACCTAAGGCTGAAATCTGAACACAATTAAACATGGTTCTATTATCCACTTGGTATCACAGATGCAGAGACTTTTACAAATGCATGATGTACAGGTGGTACCATAGGACAGTATGACACTTGCCCCAGTAAATGACAGCTGGTTGACTACAGTCAGACATGTAACTCAATAGTGCTACTTATCCAACTGAAATTGAACAGATCAACTTACATACATGGACATGTAGAATGTAGGCCTTATTTCCATAAAAAGCCAATAATTCTGAACTTGTTGGCATTGCAATAGTACCACAATTTATCCCATACAAGAACTTCAACGAGAAAAAGCCATACACTCTTAAGGCAGCTGGCAATGACTGGCACAGTACTGGTTGCACAGTGTAAAGTAGTGTGGTGCACTGAAGTGCTGCTGTTCACCTAGCTAGACCCTGCATACATGTGTAACATGCCCGCGTGGGAACCCACAGGCCAAATCTAACTTGACAGCTCTTGATGGGAATGGCTTATCCGTCTGGTGGACCTCCTCCCCCTGGTCAAGTCCTCAACTAGGACAATGATTTGGGCTGCGTTTAGTGTGTTTTCTCTGGAGAAGCATGTACATGTACCTGGTTCCACCACCATGAAATTTACTTGGTGGCCAGTTGGGAGGAAGGAGAAGATTTCAACACCAAGTAACCCTGAACAATAACAATAAATAAGGAATGTACACATGCTAGACATCAATTCTAAACCTTTCAAGACATTTATTTCATGGAATCCTCTCAACTCCAAAAGTGTTAAGCACTAAACCTGCCATTCATAAGCTATTACCGGTACATGTAGGTCTGTATGCACAACAAAATATACCACGCCTTCAAAAACTGTAATGGCGGCAGGGCTACAGTACATGTACTGTACATGTATGTACCAGTACAAGCAGTGAAACAGATTCCTACAGAATCACACTAAAGCTTGTGTTACTGGGGTACATGTAGTTACCGGTACTTTCAACATGAGGAAAACAAAAGTCACATGTGCACGGCCAGTCCTGCACTGAGGGGATGATTCCTAGATGTACCGGGTATTGTAAAATCTACAGATACATGTTGGACATACATTTAGGGAATTTTGAACCAAGTTGCTTGGAAACAAAATTTGCCCTCACAGCAAAATTTCTCCCCACAATAACTATCATTCAACACAAGTGTAGTCCCTATGTACATGTACATATGTGCATGTACATGTGCATGTATGTTCAGAGTTTAAGTACAATCATGCCTGCAATTACAATGTACCGGTACATGCATCCCCAGGGCACGTTTGATCAAACATGGATCTGGGAGGGGGACAAAGGAATCCATCCTCCCCCCAAACAAGGATCCCCCGCCCCATTTTTCTTTTTCAAACATATTGAATAGCAAATATTTTGGTCTACTTCAATTCCCATCCTTCATAAGGCATGCAACAAGCCCCCAAAATGTATCTTCAAAAAGGTTACAAAGAAAAAAACATTCCACATTGTTTGTCAACCCCTCCCCCCGCGAAATTTGTCCCAACGGTAAATTGATTTTGGATCCACCTTTGCATGTGCAAAAAAGCAAATCAAAAAAGATTTTGATGTCTATCACGGCTTCCTGAAAGAAAAAAAAAACCAAAATACCAATAAATAAGTGCAGTACACAAACGCCCAATGGTCTGCATACAAGTTCGATCAGTGGCAAATTGTTAACCAATGGTCGATTTGGACTAGTAATCTGTGCATTAAATATAAACTGGGCACCAGGCAAAGTCGACCAGTGTTTTTGACAAATTGTCGCTGACTGAACTTGTCCCTTACTGAAGAAATCACACAACTAGCGCACAACTCAGTTCCAAATGTTGTAGCTGGGCATGTTTTCCCAAAGTGCTTTTCCAACTCACACTTTACTTCCACGTAGTTCTGGACTCTTCCTCTTAGCGTGGAAGTCGGAAAAGTAACGTGATCAGCTTCACTGAGTACATGTACTGGTACTTCGCATTTTGGTTGGTGGACATCTAATGTCATTTTTAAACTACAGTAACTACATGTACACATACGGTAATGGACTGTGGAATTGGGGAAAGCTACCTGTTAAGTGACAGGGGAGATTACAAAGCTGATCACACTGGGAAAAGCTACATGTATCTTCTAAGTAAGTTCTTCCAAACTCTAACCCGAATCCCAGAGCTTATAGCTTATCATCAGCCTCTGCAGCAATTTTGTGTGTGGGGGGATCTTTAATTGACCCAATTAGTTGGAATGGAATGAGGTCAGGTCAGGGTCTGGAATGTTGTTTACATGAGACCAATGCTGTGACAAAATAGTTCTGGTCTAATGGGGTGAAATGACCCCACTGAGGTGACAATACACAGACTGCAGAGCCACTTACATGGGGAACCTGTATCCCCCATGCACCCCCCTATGCTATGAGCAATCCGACACCTGCAAGGTGCATGTACATGTACAGTACATGTATACCACTGTACAATACATTGGTGCATCAACCTATTGCATTTCTGAGAAGCTAATCAACAAGGGTTTGGCACAAAAGGCTTACCAGACATGAAGGAGAGAACAGCCACCCGGTGCGCACAAGGTGATCTTTGTGTCCTACACCCAACATACTGAACGCAATGTTTACTGCGCTGGTGATGTTAGTACTTGTGGCTAAAGTTAACCATTTTCAATACTGTTACAGGTCACAATGTCTAGGAAATGCTGGCTGTGATTGGTTGACCAATTACACCAAAGGCAATCATGTTTAAAGTGTCACAATGCAGTACCAACCACACAAATTAAAGTGCAGAGCACTCCTTTGACAAAACAACTTGATGCACGGTAATAAAATTATGAAAAAGGTTTTTCTTATTTATTGACGGAACAAAACCAAAAAAACGTGCACAGCACTCTGTTTAGGCGAATGAATGCAATTTTACATCCGGTTCAGTGGTTGAAAGCACCCATATGTACATACTGTGTGGGGTGTAAAGATAAAAAGTATTTGAAAAACTTGTCAGTCAATGCATTAGGTTAATGGTCCAAAGTTCCATAGGGATTTTTTTTTACTTTTTTAATGGGGTGTATGATGTTTTCTAATGCCATGCCAGGAATTTGTAAACCCACACTGATTTTCTGTGTGCAGATGTATGCATCTTAATTCTGGCAATTTCTATTTCAGTACTTATACACACACTTGTGCTTCAGTAGTCCTAGTAGCTGTCACGCAAACAGAGTCAATCAACCTGCCTACGGGGATTGACATGAGTACTACCCTGACTTGGCTGCATGCTACAGCAGGTCACTGTAACAAATATCGCTCTGCAGCATTGCCTCATGTTCAGAGTGAAGCAAAAATGATGTTGTACTCCTGTTAAGATCAACAAGATCTAGAAATGTTGGGCAAATCACGCACAAAGTGACACTCAGAGTCAACAAAAGTAAGTACCACACCTAGAGTGTACGGTGCATGTACTGTACATGTACAGTAGTTGGGCAGGCTCTAGGCAGTGGCAAGTAACATTATGTAACAGAATGCTATCGGAAATGGATGTGCAAAGTTTGTCTCACCTGCAAGCAGATATAGTACATGGTACCGGTACTTTCAATTAAAGGCACATTGAAATACACGTACAAGATTTTGTACACGCACATGTTGTGTGCAACCATAGAGTTCTAGAAATACCAAGTAACGTACTAGTGCACCTGTATTCAATTTCTAACAGGCATGCAACTGAGAAAGGGTATCTTCTGGTGCTTACCTGGTGTTCATGTAAGGCAACCATGTAGAATGACGAAGTGGGACAGACAACTATTGGAAGTTGATTAGTTCCCAAGTCTATGGATGAATTCATCAGATGTGCTGGGACATACACATTTACAAAAGACATCAAAACAATTTACTTCAAGGATGCATGAGAAAACCATCATGACCAGCTTTTGAATTAATACTGCAGACTTCAGGATCCTGGAAAGTAGCGAACACTACACAAACACACTCAGTCTCCAACACTCAACAAACTCCCTGGAAAGCTGAAGTCATAATAGTGGCTACACGCTGAGTTTGTACTTTGACAATTCCAGCCACAATACTCTGCTGACCAGGCTTGAATACAGAGCTGGATACTAGCTACTGAACACACACTTACTGTATATATACAGTCATCACTCACAATCCCCTTGGCTTATCAAAGCACCAGGGCTAACCTTGGTGGCTGACCCCCATGCCTGGCCAACCAAACACAAGACCCAATGCAACATCCCCGCTCCTTTGAAATCTGGTTACAGCCCATTGTGAAACACACCATGCAGTGTGGGCACCAGGCTAAAACCTCTAGGGGGAAAAACCTTGGTAAACTAACACCTCATTTGCATACGTTTTTCCCAGGCCATGGCTGTTCTGGGTTGCAAGCAGGACAGCCCTACCCCTCTGGAAAACTTCAGTTGTATGATCAGTGTACTGCATACCGAACAAGAACACATCAGGAGTGTAAGGAGTGCACAACACCAAAAAGACCGTGTAGGGACAATACAAACTTGTACAGTACATAATGTACCAGTAGTGTACGGTGCATACCGGCTAAGGTTGTCTTTTTGGTTTAGTCTCTGTATGGGAAAAAGTACACAAGATGAATTGCTTGTGTTTGTCCAAACAATAAAGCATTAAAGCTTCAGAAATGAAAGCGGCTCACAGCTATGATACCCACACTGTACAATGTAAACCGAAGCACTAAAACGAAGTTCCAAATGACAGGTTCCACCTGTTTAAAAACTCACACATTTTATGGCTTGCACACATGTACATATACTACATCATACATGTGCAGTAGGTAGGACAAAAACTGTACATGTATGATTCAATCACATGTAATGATCACTTAATGCATCAATGCTCGGTTCGTGTTTCTCATTTCACTTACAATGTGCACCGGTACCTGAAAGTGAGGTTCCAGTTGTGTATTTAATTACAATTGTCTATTTTGGGTACAAATCCAGTGTTGGAACATGTTTCGGTAGCTGTCTCACCTGACAAAGCCTTTGTCACAAGAATATTCACTGATAAATCCCCATTTCCTGTGGATTTCAATGGACAATAGTGGACCCAGAGACTTTCTGACAGTATAGTGCATACTGAGCAACATACACACAGGAGCTTACAGGTACACATGTACATTCATAGTATCACACCTGTATGTGTACATTAATGCACACTGCATACCGGTAGTTTAGGCCTACACGGCCATTTTTTTTTTTTTTAGAGTTTCAAGTTTACCGTAAAGGAGGGTAAATTCATGCAAAAAATGAAAAAAAGACAACATGAAGAGGAGGCGACTGACTCAGCACCTGAAGTGAGTGAAGAAAATAAATTTTTCATAATTTTAACAATGGACAAAAATTACTGCAGACCACCAGTATACACCGGTACTCTGGTAATGCTGCATACAGTAGACGCTTCATACAGTACCAGTATGTGCACAGTACGCACATGTACAGGTACACATACATTGTAGTGCATGTACACTGTACATGTACAATGTACAATTGCTATACTACATGTACATGTATGTAATAGGCTGCAATGAAACATCCCTTTAGCTTCCACTGTCTACTGGTGCCATAAAGCTCACTATAAATCAGCCATACAGAAATCCACCTTACATGTACATGTATATTACAATCGCCTTCACTCCCAATCACTCCTAACACAGCAATGTCAACTGCAAATTTAAGAACCTATCCGGGCATTAAAAAATACAAGGGGGCCACTTGCTGGAGATAGGCCTCTGGTGACCTGGCTCAGGAATTTCCTCTGTTTTCAAAGGGGGTGACTTTAGTCTCCTTTGAACACTTTTACAATAGCAGCCAAAAGCCTACAATGTAGGGGCCTACTCCGGGTGAGCTAACGTAGCAAAGCAACATAACTTTCCTCCCAGCAAAAAACTTGCACTTGCACAAATTTGCCAGTCAAGAGCATGCTCATCATGTTGAGTTTCTTTATAAATTTTGGCATTTTGTTGAATAAAAAAAAAAATAGGCCCTATAGCAGACGTTCAAAGTACAAGAAATGTATACATGTACATGTACATACATGTACCCGGTATCTAAATGTGCAGTCGAGGAAGGCCTATGGGAATTTGCATACAATGTGTACAGGACAGGTACATGTAGAACAGATGAGAACATTCCATTACACAATGAAGTCCAAAATCATTCATACCCATTCCAAATTCAGATACATGTACATGTAGCATAATTTACAACCAGAACACCACATACCAGTAGTAGAATTGACAACAAAGAGCTAAATGACCACATGAGCTCTCACAATGGAAATACAAGTTTTTGTGTGCCTGGGTTGTCCATCAGTCCACTTCAGATGTTTTAACAAAATAACAAACTGCCACATTTTTCAAAAGGTACCGGTGCATGAATCATTTTGGGCTTAACTGTACCGTACATGTACACAATATCGTACATGTACACAGAGGTTAAAGTTGAAAACAATTTTTTTCAAGATCTGTACTCAAGTCTGTCCAAAATTCATTCAAGGCTGGTACAAAATGTACAGTACATATGTAGGGCCTACATGTGTATGTACTCAGCAGACATTGTTCAGCAGCCTGTTGGTGCATCCATTTTTACTGTAACAGTAAGTGCCAGTACCTGTGCATGCATTGCATTGTAATGTACAATGGACATGTGTGTCTACATGTACATGTAGACCACTCTCATTTTGCCTACAACCTGTGTGGGTGGCCAAAGTTTGCAGAAATATCACCTTTTGGTTAGTTTTCAATTTTACCTCAAATTCATTCAAAACAGACATGTGTTACATTGTATTTTTATTTACATGTAGTATTTAGCAGCATGCGTATTACCATCCAGTGTTCTATGAGCTGTGTGGGATTTTAACACTTGTGAATCATTCTTTTACTTTTGTACGGGCAAATCATACCAGATAGTTTTAGCAGCCACTTGTAAAAAAACACTACTGTGACGTCGAAAGAGTAAACCCTACACAGATTTTCTAAGGTCAGCTCATTGTTAGATAACTTTTGCTATCAAAAGATCTTCCTCTTGCTATAAATCTATATCACAGCTACATGTGTACATGTACCGGTAGGCCTACTGTTTTTCCCTCAGTGAAATGGTTGGTAAACTGCAGTGTGTACCAAGATACATGTGACAAAAGCAATGGAATAATTCGTAAAGTATAAAAATATCACATTCTCACGTACCTGCTAGACTAAAAACAAACACTCCGGCTAAAGAAAAATGAAATATACTCCAGATACAATGCACTAGGGCAAGTATGCATTTGGGGCAAAAGTTGTTGCCAACTAAGGCAACTTACCACAAACTCTGGTCACTCACACCTTATGCTCACACAAAGTGATTTGCAATATCGAACAAAAGAAAGGTTTGCACAAGTCCAGTAAAAGCAAAAGGGAAATCCAAAATTCAACAGAAAACAGTTTTATTTAATGTAGAGAGACAATTCAGCAAATGTTTGCTTGACTGCAGTAAAAGACATACATTTAAATAAGAAATTTAATAAAAATGGTGAACATTTATTATCTTTTCTTACCACTGTTAATTGGAATGGGCGGAGACACATGTACATACATGTGTACATGTATATAGAATTATATTACTTGAACATCAGTTAATTCATTGATTTAAACGTGGCAAAACTTACCACTAACAGAAAGCATGCATCCAATCAGATCCACAAGGCTCAGTCCAAGAGAATACCAGTACTTCAAAGACAGTCACACTCTGCTTCTACATGTACACTGTACAATTTTACATCACAGAAAATACAGTATGAATAATTATTACAAAATTAGCAAGCTAATGAGCACACAAACTGTGTCCGTCCCTGGGATAGGGGCAGGGGATTTTCAATTTAGAAATTCCCTACCCATAGGGAGCCCTTCCATGCAGTATGTCAACGGTAAAAATATTCATGACAAAATTCTCCCATTCTTGTCTTTACATCTGACAAATCTCAAGATGAGATTTGGAGCACTGGGCAGGGGAAATGCATGAATTACCTTTAAAGTATTCCAAACTACAAGTACATGTACCGTTACCTGGAGCAAATCTCCAGTTCTTGCATGTGTAACCTACATGTATGTACATGAAACAAAATGAGTTGATCACCAGAACCACTTCTGAGTTGAAAGCCCCCAATATAATCTTGAACAATGTAAATCTACAGGAACTCTCAGAATTGTTTGCCTACATGTACATGTACTACTGTCTACTGTACATGTCCATGATGTCTGGTTTCCCCAGTACGAAACTGAGTGTCACTTCACAACAAAAAGTTTGCTTTGCCTTTACAATACAAATGACAATGTACCAGCACATACAATTAAACTACCGATAAAATGACCTAAATGACTGATTTTGTGGAATTCAGTCTCGATCCTTGGGTACAGGTAGAACATACTGTATGTTTTGTTAAATGGGTTTTTGTTCATGGGTTTGGATTTTGGCAAAACATGAACATAAGTACCGGTATCTCAAACAATATCTGATGGTTAAAAAAAGTAAAGATACTGTACTTGCAAGTTGACAAACTAGCACAGTTTCATTCATTTTTGTAATCATTTCATCCCAATTCCCATTGGGAGTGAGAAAGGTCCTGTATCAAGCGTGTTATTCATTTCAAGGTCTGTAGGGAGAAAGGCTCTGTTTTGGCAGGACAGCAACCTAACAGGTGGATCAGTGACACCTGTTGGCTCAGCCAAACCACTAACCAAACTTCACTACCAAGGCAGCCGAGTGCCCTGCAGCTGATTACTGTTTGCTACAGGGGCTGCGTACTGACCAATCGGGAGGGTGACATGCATTGCAGGTGGAGTTTGGGCAAGACAGCCAAGGGAGAGGACATGGGGACCAGTGGACTAAAAAGGTCATTTACTGCAAGTAATGAAGACACATTGTCAGATCCACACAAGGTCACCCCCACAGAAAAACACTGATTTAGGTACCTACATGTAGTTTTATCTGTTGTAACAGAAACCATGATCAAAATTTCCAGTTAAGTGCAAGGAAAATGACTGTCTTTCTACAAGTTTTCTTAACTGCATATTTACATAAAGACAGAAATATCCACATTAGAAACATACACATACTGGTATGTACAGTTGCAGGTGTAACAATACACCTTGCTGGTACATGCAATGGGAGGGTACACAAGACTCTTCAATGAAATGAGCACCAAATCAAGGC